ATTCTATATTTGAGAATGTGTTATGATAATAATGATTATTTAAATGTGAAAAGAAAAAAATATACACTTAAAATGAAAAAAAAATGTTAAACAATTGCAGATTAAAAAACTGAAATAGAAAACTGCCAATAAAGACCAGACACTGGTATATGTTCTTCTTCTTCTTCTTCCGACTAGAGAAAGAGAAGAACAATGGCGTCAATCCGAAACACGAAGATGAACCCCATCGATCACCTTCCCCTCTGTCTCCTCAGATCCGACACGGTCCCACCCGCCCCTACCTTATCCGAATCAACCGTCGATTTCCTCCCTCACTTCTCCGGCTACTCTTGGATCGCTTACGCCGCTTCTTCTCTCCTCGTTGTCTCCCACTTTCCTTCTCCTATTTCCCCTTATCAATCCCGCATCGGCCCCATTTTCCGCCAATCCTTTCAGCTCTCAGCCGATCCCCTCGCTGCCGTTGCCTGGTCACCTTGTTCACCCTCCTACGGCGACCTTGCCGCCGCTGCCGATAACTGCATATGCCTTTTCCACCACAACTCCACCGCTGCAAAAGGTAACTTCGACTTTCCACTCTCTCTTTGCTTCATTTGCTGAAATTAATAGCTTCAATTACTCATTTCGTCTTTATGTTTGCATAATCTTTACGTAATACGTGTAAACACTACTCGGTGTAGTTCCTACATACAATACACTTTCTTATTTACACTTCTCTTAATACGTTTTAGTCTCCACAATTCTGAATGGCAATGACTTGGGCGGATTTAAGAAGTGTGTATAGAGAGACCAACACGAGTAGTTTTTAGCTGTAGGGACTAAAACGTAAAAATTGTGTAGGTACAGGGACCAAATAGCAATTAAACTAATTCAACGTTTTAGATATATTATGGGCTTAGTTTGTTGAATTTTAATGTGCTTGTGGGGACAAGTAAATTGAATCAACAACTTTAAGCTTCTACTGAGGGGGAAGGGAGGATGGTCCTTGAGTCGTAATATTGAGTATTTGTTCACATGTTTATGATTATTATGTTTCATTGTTTCACAGTCGCTCGTTTATGAAAATGCAAGTTACATAGGTCATTTTGAATAAATTTCTAATATTTATTTATAGGAGAAGAATGGAAAGTGAACTGAGTTTCTATGTAAGTTAAAATATACTTATGCATTCATTTAACTTATATAGAACTACTCTCATTTAACTTGTTCAGAAGCTGAGGTGTGTAAGTTGGTTTTAGCTCATGGGAGAAGCTCAGTTCATTTTAATGTTTTGTTATCTTTTCCTTTCCTTTAGTTTGTGAGTTTTGGCTTTTGAGAACTGGTCCAGCAACATTTTAAGGAAGGGGAGATTTCAGTGACCATTCCAAGGTTGCCTTTTGGATAAGGGTTAGTTCAAAGTGAACTCAATTACTCAACGTTTACATGCTTTTTAATGTCTTCCGTATTGTCCGGAGTAAAAGACAATTAAATAGGACCTCCATGCCTTGTAAAGTCTGTCAACACCTTTGCAAGAGTTTTTCATAAGATGGGGTTAGTGTCTATTTTGGAGAGGTTTAGATATATGAAGAGATTGGCAATCTTAGATGATTTGTTTTTGCTTTTCTTGTTTGAGCTTTGTTTTGTTTTTGTTTCTCTTTGGAGGATGTCGTGTCCCCTGTTCTAACACTTCTTTAGATCCCGTTTCTAATATATTTATTCTTATTACAGAGAAAAGGAGAAATTTTACATTAGGAAGAGTCTTCTCTTTTATTAGTTCTATATATTAAAAACACAATCTTGTCACTCATATTCAGGTTCTTTTTGTTGGAGCCAGAATGCAGTGCTTGTACAACATACGAAAGTTGCAAACATCAAATGGACAGGATCAGGAGATGGAATCATTTCTGTTGGAATGGAGGTGGTTTTCTGGAAAAAGAGCAACAAATGTTGGGAGGTTGCTTGGAAGTTTAAAGCAGATCAACCCCAAACTCTTGTTTCTGCAACGTGGTCTATTGAGGGCCCTTCAGCAACTGCAGCACATCCTAGTGAAGAACAGATTGAAGGGGCCTTGACCAATGAGGAAAGCAAATATGTGGTTGTATGTCAAAGTAACGGACTATCTGAATATTCAAAAGTCAAGCTACATCATCCCCTACCTGTTGTAATGATTCAATGGAGACCATCAAGAGAGAAGTTATCAAACAGATACGGTAAGTGTTCAGTAAGGCATGTATTGTTGACTTGCAGCTTAGATGGGACTGCAAGGTTATGGAGTGAAATTAATAATGGAAAGGCCAGGAGAGTTGGGAAGGACATCAATGATCAGAAAAATGCTGGTTCCTCCTTTTGTGTTGTTGCTGTTATTGAGATTAATCAGACGTTAAATGGAACTCTTGGTTCAGATATATTTGTGAGATGGGGGGCAGAATTCGAGGGAATATTTAGAACTGGTGAAGAGTCCAAACAAGTTTTTTCCAAACGATTTGAGTATGATGTCAGAAATTGTGATTGGATAGTTGGGTTTGGTCCTGGAATGTTGCTTAGCTTTTGGGCTGTCCACTGTCTTGATGATGTTTCCCCACTGAGATTTCCCCGAGTTACATTATGGAAGAGGCATGAACTCCACAACCACGACATAGCAAATGTATACAAGTTTAACTCATCTGATTTTAAAAATGCAATATTTCTTCAAAAGGTTATTTTAATGAGAAATTGCCTTTCTGGTCCACCTATTATATGCTCAACACTTCAGCTATTGTCTTGTAATTCCTTAGTTTGGTCAAATTTCCGTATTTTAACAATACATGATGCTGTGGAGAACTCCATTGACAATGCTAACACAGATAACATTTCCCCCTATTTGACTGGTGGTGTTTTGAACTTAGATGGTCATAGTGGGAAAATCTTAAAGGTTTCTATTCATCCTTATACATGCAAAGTTCAATTTGCTGCTTCCCTGGATTCTAATGGACTGCTTCTTTTTTGGTCACTTTCTAACATTTCAAACTGCATTTTGGGATGTCCAACTTTGGTTCCTACTATGGAACTCTGCGGAAAGCTTGCCACTCAAGACTCATGCTCCTTGTACACAAGCTTGACATGGGCACCTTCAATACTTGGTGACAAACTGTTTTTTTTTATGGGACATACCCGGGGAATTGATTGCTTCATTGTCAATATTTGTCGAACTGAAGAGGAAAACATAGAATGTCACTACTTATGCACTATTCCTTTCAATGGTCATGGTCCTTATGAAGACGGGCCTTTAGATATCTTCACAATTCCTTTGAACTCCACCTGTGACAAAACTTTTTGCAGCAGTAAACTTATGCTCTTGGCAGTATGGATGGGGAGATTTCAGGCCCTATCATGGGAAGTTAGCTTGCACTCATTTGACATGTTGTCAAACAGTTGTGAATGCAATTTTGATGCTAAAAGCATTGATGACTGTAGTGTTTGGGCGTTTGAAAGTACATTTGCTGATAAAAAATATTACGTTACTGTAAATCCATGTTCATGTGAGTTTCCAAGTTCCAATGATCTAGTTACTAGTTTTGCTGTGGCTAATCCAGGCACTGTAAGCCATATACAACAAGAGTTTGGCTTTGCAAATGATCTTTGTAGTAACTATCCTACATACATTATGGTCACAGGGTCCTCCGATGGCATCTTGAAACTCTGGAAAAGTATACCAGGGAACTCATTGACACAACACTTGCCATGGGAACTTGTGGGTGTGCTTGTTGCACATGATGGTCCCATCAAGGGTATATGTTTCTCTGATTGTGGTGAGAAGATTGCCACAATCGGTCATGAGAGCAATTCCAATGATATCAATACCATACATATATGGGATGCTGTACCATTAATCAGTGCAGGGACTTTTATTTTGGAGGATAAAATAAAGACTGATAGTGATGTTATCGCTCTAAGGTGGTTAACTTTAGGAACAGGGGAGTTATTGCTTGGAGTTTGTTTGCATAATGAATTGCAAATATATGCTCCCAAGCATTGTATTGGTACAACTTTTCCGAACTCTGTAAATTTTCCAAAAGTGAATATATGGGTTCGCATTGCATTTGCTCACTCTTCCATTCCAATTTATGATTTCTTATGGGGACCTAGAGCTGCAGCAGTGATGATTCATACAAATTACTTTAGTATATTTAGTCATTGGTTGTTCCACATGGATAAAAAGCAAGGGAGTAATTTTCATCCATGTGATTCAAAGTCTAATGCTTATAATTGTGAGGATGAAATATATGAAGACGTACTTTCTGCGGTTTTTACTGAACACATTGGTGCTTTCATAGAACAAACAAATGGAGACAGTCAAGTAGATTTTAATTCTGTGGAGTCCATAAAAAAAATCAATATGAAGGACAATTCCAGTAGCTTGTTCTTGGCCAAGGAACAATTGAAATTTGAACTTCTAACCAAGGTTGGTTTATGGAGCATCTTAGAAGTAACTGAGATAATCAGTGGATCCTTGCCTACATATCACCCTGATGTACTACTTATTAATATCAGTTCAGGTAATGGTTGCGTAAATTGTTTTCTTTAAGTATGACTGATGACTCAATTAGTGTACTCAATTAATGTTTTTCATGTATTTTATTGTTATTATTTTTAATGTTTTCAGGAAACTGGAAACGTGCTTATGTAGCTGTTAGGCATCTTGTTGAATGCCTGACTTCTACATATGATCCTAAAAGGAGACACATCCCTAAAAGAATTTGTCTTCCAAATATTGTATTATCTAATTATCTCGAAGGCCGTATATCAAAAGGTTCCCAGGGTAAGGGATTTCAATGGGGTGGGGATTCGGCATCAATCACATCAATTTCACAGGCTCAAAGTAGCCTGTTCCCATTTCCATATCATTCAGGCTCCAATGCTGAAAATGATAGCATTTTCTCAACAAAATCTGAGCTTAATGGCTTTATTGAATCTCTTGAGAATTTTACTGATTTACCACTTTTGATTGGCGTAGAGAAGACACAGATTCTTGCTATTATTGATCTTCTTAGTGAAGTTAGTAGTGCACACTCATCGTCTGCATATCAGAGTCTTGATGAACCTGGGCGAAGGTATTCATGATCGTATTTAACATTGTGTGCTTTCTTGTTATATTTTCTTTTTATCCTTTATATTTTCTGTTTCATAAATCATACACAAAAATTATTGGAAGTATTAAAAAGTGAATTTTAAGCTTAATTTAGTCTTAGAAAACCGATTTATTAGATAAAGAATATCCTCACTTATATAGTGTATTTTGGTACTATCTTTTGTCAATATGGGACTTGGGTTTTTTTCCATTACATTCTCACAACACTATTGGGCTTATGACTTGGATAACATGGTAAGTGGTTCTTTTAATGGATATAGGACAGACTCCGATAGATTCAACCAGTATTACAGAACACACAAGACAAGTTCTTGGTAGATTCTTATTGAAACAACACGGATTCTGATAGGTTCCTATTCTGGGAACCTAATCAAGAACTCCCTCATAGCCTCTCACACCCAGAAAACAGAGAGAAATATATGGTGAATTGTGTATTATTAACAGAAAGAATAGTGTGTGTATACAAGATCCAGAGGCATAACCCTCTTCACAGGTCAATGGCCTTGTAACAAACCATGTACTCAAAAAATGCCTTCTAACTATCCAAACAATCTATTTATACAATTCCTCTACCTTCTATCCTAATCCCATTTCCCATTATACCCTTACATCCCAAATACCCTATATCCTAACATTACACCCCGTTGCAGAACAACCTTGTCCTCAAGGTTGGAATGGGGAAGCTTGGCTCATGGCTCCTCTTCCTCATCGGGTTACCATATGAAGGAAACCCACTGGCTTTGCCCTTCAATTCAAGTCAGGGGGCTTGGGCGGTGGCAAATTTTCCTCTTCTTCTTCGGCCAAGATCAGCATTCGCAATCCCTGCTCTGGACATCGATGACCTGGGCTGAAAGGCCCTCCGCACCGGAAGCATCTTTCCTCTTCTCTCCTTTTCACGTACTCCGAATATGGTAGGTTGCGGGTATTCCTTTCCCTCCAGTCGCTAGTGGTTCTTGCGGCGCCGCCTCCGGGGGTCGCCTCTTTCTTCACGGAACCGACACTTTCCGTGGCCCCTCCTTGACTCTGCGTATCGCATTGGAACTCTACTCGTGCCACCACCCTCGCCGTTCGTCCCCACGAACTCTGGTTCTTGGGCGCCGATCCCCCTCCCGTCTTCGTATGCGCACCTAATTTCTCCACATCACGCGCGACTTGCATGGTTGTCATCAAGTCTTGGGGATCATGCGGCCTGACATGGTCGCCCACCTCCTCCTGGAGTCCCACCATGAAGTAGCCCAGAATTTGTTCCTCTGGAATTTTGGTGGTCTGCCCCACCAACACTTCGAACTCTCTTACGTATTCCTCCATCGTCCCGACCTGCTTAATGGCCGATAGCCTCTCATACACCGTTCCCCGCGTTCCTGCCCCGAACCTAATCGCCAAAGCTCTCTTTAACCCTTCCCAAGAATGGTTCTTGGTTTTCTCTCTCCAAAATCGAAACCAACTCCCAGCATACCCCTTCATACTAATGAAAGCCAGTTGTAATTTCTTGTCTTCGTCCACTCTCTGCACCTCGAAGAACTTTTCCGCCCTATTGATCCAGTTCCACGGTTCGCCACCTTCGAACACGGGTAACTCCACCCGTTTTCTCCAATTAATCTGTCCGTCTTGTCGCCCTTCTCCTCGTCTTCCTCTCTCCCCTTCCGGTCCGTCGTCGTTATCATTTACGGAGGATTCACTACCCTCACGGTGCGGCCTGTGTGGGTCCTGTTTGCGATCTCCCAACAATTTCAGAATCCCTTGGATGTCTTGGCGCATTGCCTCATAGTTCTGCCTCAATGCCCCAGTCTCATGCCGCAAGAAGACCGTATCTGCCTTCATCTTGGCCAGCGTAATCTCTACCGCCTCCAGTTGACCTTCTACCGCCAACACTCTGCCCTCCATCACGTGCGTACGTCACCCTTCCGATTGGGATCCGGCAGGTCGGACCAATTGATAGGTTCCTAATCTGGGAACCTAATCAAGAACTCCCTCACACCCAGAAAACAGAGAGAAATATATGGTGAATTGTGTATTATTAATAGAAAGAATAGTGTGTGTATAGAAGATCCAGAGGCATAACCCTCTTCACAGGTCAATGGCTTGTTAACAAACCATGTACTCAAAAACTGCCTTCTAACTATCCAAACAATCTATTTATACAATTCCTCTACCTTCTATCCTAATCCCATTTCCCATTATACCCTTATATCCCAAATACCCTATATCCTAACAGATTCTGCCAGTGTGGTAGAATACAGTAAAACACCAAACACTGAAGGACTTTCGAGTTGTCCTCAACCCTTTACTTCCTAGAAAACATCAACAATCTTTTCCTCCCAAAACACTGACTATTTATAATAGCCAGTTTACNCCTTCTCCTCGTCTTCCTCTCTCCCCTTCCGGTCCGTCGTCGTTATCATTTACGGAGGATTCACTACCCTCACGGTGCGGCCTGTGTGGGTCCTGTTTGCGATCTCCCAACAATTTCAGAATCCCTTGGATGTCTTGGCGCATTGCCTCATAGTTCTGCCTCAATGCCCCAGTCTCATGCCGCAAGAAGACCGTATCTGCCTTCATCTTGGCCAGCGTAATCTCTACCGCCTCCAGTTGACCTTCTACCGCCAACACTCTGCCCTCCATCACGTGCGTACGTCACCCTTCCGATTGGGATCCAGCAGGTCGGACCAATTGATAGGTTCCTAATCTGGGAACCTAATCAAGAACTCCCTCACACCCATAAAACAGAGAGAAATATATGGTGAATTGTGTATTATTAATAGAAAGAATAGTGTGTGTATAGAAGATCCAGAGGCATAACCCTCTTCACAGGTCAATGGCTTGTTAACAAACCATGTACTCAAAAACTGCCTTCTAACTATCCAAACAATCTATTTATACAATTCCTCTACCTTCTATCCTAATCCCATTTCCCATTATACCCTTATATCCCAAATACCCTATATCCTAACAGATTCTGCCAGTGTGGTAGAATACAGTAAAACACCAAACACTGAAGGACTTTCGAGTTGTCCTCAACCCTTTACTTCCTAGAAAACATCAACAATCTTTTCCTCCCAAAACACTGACTATTTATAATAGCCAGTTTACATGAAAAAATGACTTGAAAAGGAGAATGATTTTTATTATTTCATATCTATTACATTTTCCTTACACCTATTTGTAACAATCCAATCCTCCAAAAAAGGAAATAAGGAAGAAATATACTGAAAAATAAACAAAGAAGATTCTATAGATATATTCTCTAATTAGGAAGGTTTTTCTCTAATTACAACAAACTGAAACATTTACAAGAGGTTATAACTGTCATATTCAGTTATACCTCTTATCCCTCGTCCTATAAACAATTCTAAACCTACCAGACTCACATATTGGAAAGTGGTTTAGTTCTGACTCAAGCCTATTAAAACCCAAATGGCACATTAAATGCAATATATAACGATAGATAAATCTCATTTTATAAGTTAGTGTGTGGAGATCTAACACCTGCTAAAAATAAAGTAAAACGTATAGTATATAAGTGAATGCAAATGTTATCTTATAAGTTGATTTTATAAAATTGAGTTAAGCTTAAACTATTTTGTAATAGGAAACTATCAATGAAGTTTCTCCCAATATTTTAGTAAGTGGATTTATGCCTCAACTATATAAAATTAGCTTTAAGGAGAGAATTGCACCCCACTTATATATTATAACTTGGTCTTATTCCTAGTTAATGTGGGATCTCCCACACTATCAAACTCAATGTGAACAAAAGGATATCCTGCAGTGGACCAGGATAAATGAAAAGTTAGTAGATATTATATCATTACAATCCTTGGTGGAAATTTTGGAATAGAGAACAAAATGTAAGACCAAGTATATGAGGTCTTCAATTGAAGACCTACTTCTGAATCTTTGCATAGAACTGGAACTCTCTTTAAATATTATCCACTTTGAGTTCATTACACTCAGATGGGAAATGTAATACCAAGTAAATTGACAAGCTACCCAAGCTTTCATATTACATTTTGCATTTGAACGTCAATGGCAAAGCATCTGAGGTCACTTTTTGTATGATATCTTTTAGCATGATCACTTTTTTAAAATCATTTTCTATGCCTTTACATGAGAATTATTAAATTGTAAGCTCACTTGAGATTGGAAAATATGTAAAATGTTTGAGTCCAATGATCTCTTGGCTAATTCATTTATGTATATGTATATCAGTAGTGAAACAATAATTTAAGCAATTCTGACAAGCAAACTCTTTTACATATGTTAGACAATCCTGACAAGGTCTTGCACAGGACTTACCTTAAGACCTGTATTTGGGTCTGGGTAGATTCTTAAGTATTCAGAGGATGTGTTGGCTACTTTAAGTTTTTGCCATTCTTAACATAGGTTGTGAGAAGGGTTAATATAATTTTCTTTCTAATAGAAGTATAAGAGGAAAAAAAGGTCAATCATATGGGTTGTTTCTTTTTTTCTTTTCTATTAGGGTAGTATTGAAGGGAAATTTTTTAATCTGATTTATACATTGTCAGGAATTTTCAGACTATCAATATGCCAAGCTTCTGGAATCATGTGATTTATGTTGTTGACAATGTGTCCTTTGCCCCTGTTAAAGTTTAGGAGAGAAAATCTAATGATGAAAATATTATTACTTGTTTCTAGTTTCTATTACACAAGGATGTCCTATATAAGGAACAATGGACCAGCACCTAAAAGCCCAAACCTAAAAGTCCAATTATACAATACAACATATTTCAACAGCCTCTTCGTGAGCTATGCATTCTGTTAATATTCTTATCATGGAGATTCAATACCTGTTAATGATATTATTAATGTCAAAATTCTTCAAAGATGGCTGTGGAACTGCAAAAATATGATTGCCAATTGCTAATGATGATTATAAGTGAAATTAGATGGTATATCTTAAAAGCATTTGGTGGTGGTTGGATCTGATGTGTAGATGTCTGACTTTTGGTAGTTGGTACATGAATGATGTGATTTCTAAACTTTTCCTTGTAGGTTTTGGGTTGTACTACGGTTTCGGCAACTGCTTTTTCTCCGGAAGTTTGGTAAAGCTGCTTCTTTTGAAGAGTTGCTTGTTAACTCAAGATTGTTTGTATGGGCTTATCACTCTGATAGCCTAGATAATTTATTTGGTTCTGTCATACCCAATGAACCATCGTGGCAAGAAATGCGTGCTTTGGGTTTGGGCTTTTGGTATGCTAATATACCTCAATTACGTGCAAGGGTAATGCTTAGTTTCTTCTCCATGTTCTATAACGGGTAACAAACATGAAACAAAATCTTGGAAATTAAAACCTTAAGTTTGTAGCATGTGTGCTGCTATATCTTTGAGTTTACGTGACCTACTGTTATTTTTTTATCTAAGATCAAATTTTGAAAGAAAATATAGATTAGTTATACTTCAATTCCTCACTTACAGACATACTCTCCACAATCTATGTATAGTTGCTCAAAATACTAGTTTGCCTGCTTATTTAAGCAGTTCCATATCTCATGAATTCTACTCATTTTTTGTCATTAATGTTTGGCCACACAGATTTCACCATATAGTTAAGGTTTACATGCAGTGCATCACGGTTTAAAAAATTCCCTTTAATTTATTAGCATGGAAGAATGAATTTAACATTTTGTGAGAATTATCAATAAAAGTTAAAATAAATTTAAAGACATATAGGTATATATCTAACTAACTTTTGATAGTTTGCACTTGTTAGATTGTATTATTAGCCTTAAGAATGAGCTCGACATTGTAGAAAGCTATTTTTAAATTATTAATGCTTATGGAGAAATTTTATTCCTGTAGTATTGAAATGTTGAATACTACGTAATTTTATGTCCAAGTCTATAGGTCTGGAGGGTGTCTATGCAAGTGGCCCAATAATGGATCTAAAACATAGTTTTGGCTTAAGGCTTAACTCAATCCCATAATCAAGCTCTTGCAACGAGGGTTGCCTCTCCTTTATATTATACTATTTTTGCTGTATCACTAGTAAATATTGGATCTCCAACATACCTCTTATACCGAAAATTGAACTTCTTGAATGTGAAGTTTGCAGTACTTGACATTTGTAGATAGTTTGATGTTGATCCAATAAAGGTGACCAGTGACCCATCCCATAAACTTTTTCTCTTTTGTAGCTCAAGAGCATTTTCAACAAGAGTTGCTTAAGAATAAAAACATTGCTGATTAACAAATGAATAAAAATGTAGGTCTCTAAGCAACTCTTCATTTTTAAACAACTTATGAACGTGAGACCCACATTAAAATACTGTTTTTATTCATAAGGAACTCTTATTGGGAGATGCTCTAATCAAACTAATGAAAGCTGTTCAAGTTTATCTTGAAGATAGCCTTTTCTCCTTAATTGGATACAAATCTTTATGCTACCTTTGTTATGGACTTTGACAATTCAATTTGGATTTTTATATTTTTTCTCCTAAAAATAAAAAATATATATTTGTAAGTCTATTTTTTCCTGCTGAACCAGATGTTGAGACTTGCCTACCTTTGATATGTTCTTTGATGGAGAATATTTTAGTGTCCTTTTACAGTTATACACTCTGTTGGGAGTTGGGACCCTGGAAAGTACTTGTGGTGTATACGAAGTACCAACTGCTATGATGAATTAAAATGTGTTTATCAGGGGTGAAAATCCAGCTCCTCCTGTTGATTTCTTTTATTCTATATTTCTGCTGATTGCATGATGTCATGATGTTGCAAGAAAACTTCGGATTTTTTGTCTGCTTTGACAAAATTAGAGCGTGGAAGGAAAAATTTTATTCCACTATTTGTTGGTTTATCTATTGTTTATGAGCTTGTCTTCTGTAAATTATTGTCATAACTCATAATATCTTATTTTATTACTATTTTTCGCATTCAAACAGTTTTAATACTTGCTTTGTTTTACTTGCTCTAGATGGAGAAATTGGCAAGAGCTCAATATTTGAAGAACAAAAATCCAAAGGATTGTGCTTTGCTGTATATTGCATTGAATAGAATTCAAGTTTTGGCCGGCCTTTTCAAAATCAGTAAGGATGAGAAAGATAAGCCTCTGGTGGGCTTTCTTTCTCGCAATTTTCAGGTGAATTTTTATACAAATCTGCAAGAACCAGTGTTTTTTATAATGTTGCCTTTTTCATCAATGCCATTAAAGGATTTTGGCCCCATTTATAAGAACTTATCAACAACTTATTTCAAATTACTAAAATATCATATGGTTTTGTCCTTAAGATGCTTTTAGTGTATTTTCATAAGGTCTCCAAGGTAGCCTATAGTAAAGGCATATGCAGAGCTTTTGTAAGTTTTTTTATGTTACGTTTTACAATAGTGTGTGGTGGTGAACTTTATATAATAGTATACTATTTGAGTATACTATTTGAGTATACTTGTGAATGGTGAAACTTTTTAAGTTTATACCATAAATTTATTGGGTAATGATATGTTAACACATAATTTTTGACAAGATTTTGACACAGCATACCTGTCATTTTCTCATTGGGTTTAGAGTAAATTAGCAATATCAAATAAATAATGAACCAATGAGAAAATAACACTGTCCTGTGTCAAAATATTATAAAAAAATCTGTGTCAAAATGTCTTTTTCCTAATTTATTATCCACAAACAGAAAAAAATAGTTAAATTGAGGCTAGTAATTATTTATTAGTTTTTAATCATGATTCATTTTTTTAAAATGAGACAATATCTTATTGGTGCTTGTGTAGTTGGGGATCCAAACATGTCAAACTTATGTAAGAACTTAATAACGTGTATATCCAAAGCTTATTGAATTTTAAGCACTTATAACTTAAGTTCTTGTATAATAAGAATTGATTGAAAAATATCAAGATATTTTCCTGAACAGGTCCTTAGTAAACTTACATTAGACTGATAAAGTCATGAGGATTTTAATTGTTAGTCATTGTTTTAACGTGACTTATATAAGCATTGAATTCTTATCCTACATGGTGTTTTGTCATATTAATGTTTTTAAGTCATTAATTCAGCCATAATTTTATCACAGGATGAGAAAAATAAAGCTGCTGCTTTAAAAAATGCTTATGTTTTACTTGGAAGGCATCAGCTGGAATTAGCAGTTGCTTTCTTTTTGCTTGGAGGTGATCATTCTTCTGCTATAAACGTTTGTGCTAAGAATCTTGGGGACGAACAGCTTGCCTTAGTCATTTGTCGACTTGTTGATGGCCACGGGGGACCTTTGGAGCGTCACCTAATTACAAAGTACATACTTCCATCTGCAATTGATAAAGGAGACTACTGGCTTGCAAGCCTTCTGGAGGTGCCAAAAATGTCAACATTAATTTATTCCTAAAGACTTTCTGCTGTTTTCTTCATTGTTTAGGGCTTGCTTAATACATGTCCATTTACCATGTACAGCAAGCTTCCTTGATCTCCACTTCAAAACAAGTGATTTCTATCAACTTTTTATAAAATGCTAGATTTTTGTTGACTTGTTATAGATAAGATACAAAACCTTTTAGGGTCCAAATGTACATAAGATAAACATGTTATGGGTATGGAGCATTTAGTTCCTGATGATTTTATGATTGTGGCAGCATGTCTAGATGACATTGCTTATAGGGGACTATGGAGTCTACGCTAGTAATTATAAATTCTGCTAACATAAAATGCTAGAGTCAATTAAATTGATTTTGTTTAGCTTATGTGATCTACTGACAACCGTTATTTGTGGTTCTTATTTCCGTTATATGTACATTTTTCTCACAGCCCCAAGAAGAAGCTGGGCTGGCTGACCTAACTAATATTTTTCCTTTCTCAGCCTAGGGTATGGCTGTGGCTGATATTGGTCCAGTCTGATTAGTTTTGGTGAGGTTGGCCTGATTTATTTTTTGTACCCCATAGAGTACTTGTATTCAATTTATCTGTCGTTGGCTATATTCTTCTTGCAGTGACATGCATCATACATGATCATAACTCTAATTAGATGTCTTTGTTTTGCAGTGGGAAATGGGTAATTACTACAAATCTTTTCATAGAATGCTAGAGTATTCAGTACACCCTGTGCCTCCAGAGTCCACTGTCATGTCCAATTGTGGTCATTTTCTGGACCCTACCATTGGTTTTTATTGCCAAATGCTAGCAACAAAGAATAGCATGCGGAATGCCATTGGGGAGCACAATTCTGCAATTCTTTTAAGATGGGCAACTTTGATGACAGTTGCTTCCTTAAAAAGAAGTGGTAATCCTGTAAGTTAAATTTATATGATATTAATCAATTACAAATTAATTGAGTTTTGTATGTGCATATAAGAAAAACAATTTTGCTGGAACTACAGATCATCAAATGAATTCTAGTGATGTCAAAACTCAAACTATTTGCTCAATAGCATGTCTTAAGCTCTGTTTATCTTGTACTGGTTGGTTTGAAAACTTTGTAGTGTGTACTTACTGAACCTCTCCTAGCCTTATGTGTAGGAATGATACAAGTTTTTTGCTATTAAAAATGGAGAAGTCAGCTTCTTATTGTACTGTACTTTCCTAATAAATGCTTTTTGCTGTATGTTTCTTGGGCCTTTTCACGTAAATATATCCACCTGTTCATGTCAATATAGGAAGATGTTGCGATGTTTTTTTTCTGCCCATTCAAGTACCTAGCCATATTAATGAAAAGAATTCTGAGAATTTTCAACCAATTCTACGATCCTAATTTTTAAACTGGTGTTGTTATTCATCAAGTTAAGTTTTCCTTGCAGCAGCTTTAGATTAATTGTTTATGCATTATTACTGGTCAGTAATTATTCATAATGTTGTCATGTTTCAAGCTTGAAGCATTGGAGTACTTCTCATCTTCACCAAGCATGCCTGGGACTGCAAATCAAGACAGTGAATTAGGTGACAGTCATGATGTGCTGTCTGATACTCTGATGCCTTTACCTAGAAAATGCTCTAACTGGTTGTCTGCTAATGTTTCTATGCATCTGGAGTTCCATATTAAATTGAATTTGGCACTTTGCTACTTTTCAAAATTGATAAGAGAGCATCCAAGCTGGCTTGACACTTTTTCAGAATACAATGAAGAACCTTCTGATTCTGACGAGTACATGAAGTACTATGAGAAATCAGTGGAAAGTTTTAAACAAAAGTTATACAGCGGGCTTGCCCTATTTGAACAGAGGTTTTTATTGGCTCCCCACTGTCTAATCGGCATGGTATACTTTTCTGCTCCAATTTTTCCCCTTCTGTATGTGTTACTGTTCAGCAATCTACCTCTATGACAACTCTTTAATTTCCCTATTCTGCAGATTTTACTCTTACTTTGCCATCATGGATCATTGTGCATTGGGTATGATATGACAGATGGATATACTCAAGGAGAACTGTCTCAAAAGAAGAGTGATATGCTTGAGGATTTCAATTTATATCACTCTAGGATTACACCCCTCTTTAAGACTGCCGAAGAAGTCTCCTTTTTCTATTCAAGATTATTTTGTGCCTGCAGCATGGAAAGTTCTCAACAAGATCTGCTTATTGATGGCAAACCTAAGTTTTTGGATGCTTCGCAGTGCTGCATAGAAGGTGTTTTTGTTTCATTGTGGTTTTTAAAAGCAACTTTGAGGATCCAGTTGAGTTCTATTAGCAAAGATCTGATCAAACCGCTTCTTGATATCCTAGATTTTTATGAGTACTATTTGCTTTTTTCATTAGCCTGGCTTCAGAAAAACTCAGAAGTGCTTTTGTATATGGTTGAACCATTCTTTGTTGCACAATCTAATGGCCGCAATCCTTATGATGTTGATATGGTGAATCTAAAGAAGCTTATTCCAAAAATTGGACAGTTGTTGGCTCAAACTTCTTCCATACCTAGTATACAAAACCTTCAATTGTCTGAACATGATATAAAACATTCAATTCCTGATGATGAAAGATGGAAGATTTTAGGGACCTGCTTGTGGCAGCATATGTCTAGATTCATGATATCAAATTCGAATTCTGTTCTTGCCAAACTTGAAGATGGTAATTTGTCTGGTCTTTTCCGTAGAAAGTATGCTTATGGAGAGTCTTGTATCATCAATATGGATTCTGAAACCATTAGCTTGCCAGAGAAGATTCGGATAGTCTCATATAGCCTATGTGATCTACTGATAACATCAGCTACTCACATCTCTTCTTATCATGTTAAACAACATGCAGAGTTTCTGTGGCAGAAAGTAAAGAATGATTCGAATGTAAAGACTCTTGAATGGTTAAAACAGAAATCTGAATTCAGTCAGAACCAAAACCTGAATGTTTTGGAACTGGGGAACAGGAAAGATTATTCAGTTCATCAGTTATTATGGGATCACAGTGCAGATCCCAAATTGATATTTGATTGCTTTGCACAGGAAAAACTCAATTGGCCAAATGATTTGGATCATATGCACACTAAGGGGTGGAATGACTTGTCAATGATTATGACAGGGCTGCATAACACTGATGATACATGTGGCGACGAATTTAATCTTAGATCTTCTAATCATGAAGTTGGAACTCCTGTTAAAGAAACATCTCTAAATGGTCATCCTTCTGCAGGATCAAACAAGAAAGATATAACTTCCACAAATTTTGCAGTTTTCCAGAGTCCAAGAGAAATGTACAAGAGAAATGGGGAACTTTTGGAGGTGATTTCCCCTTCTGTTTAATCATTTTCATATGGCCACATATATGTATATAATAAGAATGACATTGTTGCTGTATTTGAGCAGGCATTGTGTATAAACTCTACTTGTCAACAGGAAGCTGCAGTTGCTAGCAACAAGAAGGTTTGGATCTTAATTGATGTTATTCTGAAGTTTTGGATGCTTGGATGTTAAATTTTTCATTGCCATGCCTGTATGCTTTATGTAGAGAAAATTGTATAATTTGTTTGCACATGGGTTTCAGCTCAATCTTTTTCTCTAGCCTTTTTTATGGGCTTTAGGATTCTATGTTGAGTTTATTCTTATGAATGGGCATTGAAAGGTGGAGCCAAGAATTAATTCAGTACTCAAATAGAAGTTCAATGAATTGATAATCCTGATTTTTTTTATTAAAAATATAGTTTAAATTAAAAATATTAAATATTAATTATGAACATGCAAAGTATATAAATGTCTTTGTTTTTGTTTATCTAATTCAGGGTATAGTGTTCTTTCATCTGGAAGATGAGACACCACACAGTGGTAAATTAAATGGTCTTTTATGGGCCACAGCTGACTGGCCTCAGAATGGATGGGCAGGTTCAGAATCCACCCCTACTCCAACATGTGTTTCTCCTGGTGTTGGACTTGGGAGCAAGAAAGGGGCACACCTTGGGCTGGGTGGAGCAACTGTCGGGGTGGGCTCTTCAGCTTGGCCCAACAATGACTTGACAGGTGCTGGAGTATTAGGAATGCTTGGTTATGCTGAGATTGGTGCCTCAAGATTAGGTTGGGAAATTCAACAAGATTTTGAAGATTTTGTTGATCCACCTGCTACTTTGGAGAACATAAGTACCAGGGCTTTGTCTAGTCATCCAATGAGGCCATTCTTCTTGGTTGGTTCCAGCAATACACACATTTACTTGTGGGAGGTAGGGAAATTCCTAGTTGCTATGCATATACGGTAGATGGGGATATGACTGTATGTGTTTTTATTTGTATAAACAAATGCAGACAGTTCCCCTCCCCCCATCTTATGGTTTCTTCTTTTTATAACTCCCCCTCCCTAAAACACATAGATATTTTGTATATAATATCTGGATTAGTGCATTTATTAATTTCATACGTGGACAATAGTTCAAGCTTATGACTAATAGGAAGCTTTATAAATACAGTTCAACAGAGACAAAGCTACTGCTACATATGGAGTTCTGCCTGCTGCCAATGTCCCTCCACCTTATGCCCTTGCATCAATTTCAGCCTTAAAGTTTGACCACTTTGGACACCGGTTTGCCAGTGCTGCATTAGATGGAACTGTCTGCACATGGCAGCTGGAAGTTGGAGGAAGGAGCAATGTCCGTCCAACAGAATCATCTCTTTGCTTTAATGGTCATGCTTCGTATGTGCTTTCTCTTAACCAACTTTCAGTTGCAATTGCTGAGATATTGATAGATTTTAGTACTTCAGCTGATATTAAAGATATTATTCATATTTCATTGTCAGGGGAGGCATTTTTGCTGCTTTTGTTATCCTATGTTGTGGGTGTAGTTATGTCCTAGAAATGAATGACAAGGCTGGACTCAACAGCCTGTCATTAACGGTTAAAACTGACTTAATATTAAAATTGCATCCATTATCAGGACTGATGTATTAGCCATTTGACATGTGTTTATCACTTTGTTGAACTAGTTTGATTTTATATTTAGTTGGCATGTGATTTTGTTATTTTTCTCCAATAAAGATTCATTCTCTTATTTAAATGCAAACTATTTTACTTATGATTTCAGGGATGTCACATATTTTTCCTCCAGTGGATCGATAATAGCTGTGGCTGGATATAGCTCTAATGGTGTTAATGTGGTCATATGGGATACTTTAGCTCCACCCACAACTTCTCGTGCATCCATTTTATGTCATGAAGGTCTGTCTCTAAATTAGGTTGATCAATTATGTCATGAAGGTCTGTCTCTAAATTAGGTTGATCAATGAATGTTTATACATGTTATGTATTATAAACAGGTTTAACTTACTCCCAAAAGCTGGCATAAGGGGGGAGGATTATTATTGTTAGGATATTTATCTTATTTTATCATGATTATATTGTGTCAAGGGTTACCTTATTTATCATGATTATATTGTGTCTAGGATTATCCTATTTATCATGATTATATTGTGTCTAGGGTTACTCTATTTATCATGTACTTTTGTATCAATTTATTCTTATAAATAGAAGATTATGAGAGGGATCAATCAAGCACTCTAGAATTATTTTACAGTTTAATTCTCAAGTATTATTATAGACATTTGAACCATGAAGTTATTGGACTCGACATGTCTCAGACATCAAGACTGGATGCTCTGATACTGGAAATGAACTGTCTAACTCCCAAACCTAACCCATGAAGGGAGGATTGTCCAACTCTTATACTGAGTATTATGGCCTTATTTTTAGTCAATGGAGGACATCTCAGCACCCTTCATGTCCAAGACTGGACATCAGGAGTATGAAGTTTGTAGAATTAGACATCTTCCTGTGACCCAACATTAAAACTGGATAAATTTCTGGTAAAAATAGGTTGGCCCATCTAACTTCCAAAAGCCCCAGGTCATGAAAGGGGTATGATGGTCATATTCTTAGATTGTGGGATATCTTAACGTTATGATCTAACTATTCCAGAAAGATAAGAATGAATGCTTTAATAATTCAATAACATCTCTAATACATTGCCACACTGGGTCCCTTGAGCTTCACATGTAGATAGGTCCCTTGAGATTGACATGTAGATAATGTATGGCCATCCTAACTTGAGTTTAATTTCAACTTTTTATTTGAAAAATGGTGGTGACATGGGTTGAACTCTTTACAATTTGGTTGTAGAGATTCTAGACTATGTCATGAATCAACTTTCTAAAGCTTAAGCAGCTAGGTGAAGGTACAGAAATGGTTTTATATTTTTATAACATGTCAAGATCTTACTCTCCTAAGCTTTTAAACTTTTGGGCAAAAGCATATGAAGGATTTATAACAAGTCCTTTGGATTTAGCATAGTCAAGAGGCCCTCCAAGCCTTGTGCTGAAATTTAACCACTATATAGAAGAACGGAGGCCCCAAGTATCAAGCTCTGTAGAGTCTAGACCACAAGGTTATTAAGTTGATGTTTTTGTACGGTTTCACGAATCTATGATGCTCAAAGATCAAGTTATTGGGAAAAATCACATAAATGGTTCTTTCATCTAACAATAGCAGTAAGTTATATAATTGAATCATTGAATTTGCTTGTATCCATATCAAATTTATTGAAATTGGGAGGGAGTGGAAAATTACTGCTAATTAAACTTTTTTTAAAGAAAAATTAACTTGTATTCAGATTTGAATTGGGGTTTGCCTCTTGTCCGTAAAATCTGTAACTTCCAGTACTGAAATGTTCCTTGTATATATTTTTTCCGAGGCTTAATTATGTTTTAAGGTTTGTCATCTTTCTCTTTTAAAAAGGGGTTTATGTCCTGTTTCATATATGAAGATTGCCCATGTCTTATCACATTCCAACCTTACCTCTTACTATTTTGAAGGTGGTGCACAAACCGTGTCTGTTTCTGATAATCATGTGGGGAGTGGTTCTGTATCCCCCCTTATAGTGACTGGTGGTAAAGGTGGTGATGTTGGACTTCATGATTTCCGCTATATAGCTACTGGAAAGGCTAAAAGGCACAGGCGTGCTGATAACATTGCACAAAGCTCTGCCTCATCTTTGGCTCGTGACAAGGACCAGAATGTAGAAGGGATGCTTTGGTACATTCCAAAGGCTCACTCAGGTGAACAAAGTTTACTTGCCCTTTTAGTTATGAATTTATTCTTTTTCTTATGATTTCTGCTTAAACTTTATGATCATAGGGAGTGTCACAAAAGTAGTTACCATCCCCAATACCAGCTTGTTTTTAACTGGAAGCACAGATGGAGATGTCAAACTCTGGGATGCCCAGAGCACAAGGTTAATACATCACTGGTCAAAGATACATGAAAAACACACTTTTCTACAGCCAAGTTCTCGTGGATTTGGTGGTGTAGTGCGGGTAATTTTTTTCATAATTTTATATTAAATTTGAATGTTTCTTAATGCGCTTAAAACCAAATTCACCTATTTTAAACATAACAAAAACTCTCACCACTGCTAATACCTGCTGGCTGTGAAAATCATAGCTTCTTTAAAGCTGATGCCGTGGGTTGTTGTAGTTTAATCAAATAGGTATAGTCCATCAGAGACAAGAGTTCTCAAACTAATACTGCTAGCTTAAATTGTCACAGGCTGCTGTAACAGATATACAAATTGTTTCCAATGGTTTTCTTACATGCGGTGGGGATGGAACTGTAAAGCTGGTGCGGCTTGACAATCACCTGCGTGGCAATTGAATTAAACTATAATACTTCAGAGATCCTTTATGTTGATGACAAACTACCATGCTGCAAAAGCTCATGACAATGGTCATTATTGGTGATATGCCATCATTTCTGAATTACTGGCTTCTTTAACAACTTACATACCAAAGTGAACATTTCTGAAGCCACCATCCATTTTGAAAAGGATTCTTCATTGGTAGTGTTGGTATGTTCAGATGTCCAAAAATCTGCAACTTGGCCTAGCCATACATCCCGTATGATAAACTTCTGATGCCAGTCGACCTCATTGCTTCTTTGAACAGATTGCATGGGTTCATATTGATTCGAGTCATTCCTTGTGCATTGAACAATATTTTAGTTGCTGACCGTCATATAGTATGTTAAAGTTATGAATACCTTCGTGGCTGCCAACATTTTTTGGAGAAAACTGGTATTTGTTCTTGGTGTATATTACCTGTTTGAATTTTTTGAGGAATGAGTATAGTATATACACATACGAGGAAGGAGCTCCTCTTTAGGTTATTTTTGTGTTAGACCTCTAGTGACCTTTCTTTTGTTTCACTTGTTGTCATACCTGGCATTTTGTATATTTGAAGAAATTTTGTCAATGATATCAAGAAAATTATATTTACCTCCTTTATAGGTTATTACAAATGACATATCTCTATTATTTTTTTTTATATAAAATGACATTCAGATATAAACATTCGTTTCTCTTGTATTTTTAGTAACACTAATTTTTTTTTTATGTTTTTAATAAACAAACATTCATTTCTTTTATTTTATTTAAAATAACGTATCTACTAAAGCTTCGATAAAGATTTATAAAAATTAAAATTAAGGTTTCGTCTATTCATTAATAACTTAATTCAGTCCAAAATAAAAGTTCTCTGAAATCTAAGAATAAGAGATATTTGACTAAGGAGAAAGATTGTATAATTCTGCGTAATCTCGATCTCGAATAATATCAGTTTTGATACATAGAGCGAATGAGACATTGCCAACAAAACTTCTGAATTTATGGAGATACAGAATAACATATAAGCTATCATGCTTGCGTAGCATATGTTTCATCCTTGTTTGAATAAGAGCAATTAGATTTTCCAATATCATGATTTCGAGAATGTCAATTGTTTGATAGAAGAAGATACAAGTTTGAGTGAGTTTGTCATCAAACTTCAGGAAATATACGGAAAGTTAAATAATGCATACAAAAGTGTTTACAAATTGTCCACTAACCATGAAAATCAAATCCACATCATGAAGTCTCAAAGCATATCTCAAGATATTTGCATACCATTTACTAATTGGACAAACTATTATTAATACTAAAATTTTAAATTTAGTTTACAATAATGTGAGATAAATTCAGCTAGATAAAGTTTCCCGTAGAATATATATTCATCGTGTGTAGTCTAATATATTTGGATAAGATTTTCATGCGATAAAATAATCTTTTAATTTTCTAAGGTAACATAATATATTTTCATAAACTTAAATTCTACTTAATTGAAATCCATTAGGCTACAATAAAAACTTTTATGATTTTCTTAAAAAACTTAACTATTAACTAAACATGGAGAGACACTATTAACTAAGTGTTTAGCATTTATCCCGTTAAGTAAGTTTTCAATACGTTTTTCTTAAATTAATTTTTTTTTTGATATTTATTAAACTTAAGGTTTAATTGAGTTTTAAGTTTTTTTACAAATTTGAGTATAGATGAATAATGTTTTATAAAATTAATAATTAAAAAATTAAAACATCTTATAATTTAAATATTTACTCTAAATAAATTATAAAATTAGGTGTTATATCCACGTTTGTGAAGTTGACAAAACATCACAATACACATCGCAACAAACATGGTGTGCTTACCCATTGTTTTACACAAAATTACAATGGGTTTGGGAGAATCATAAAAAGTAGAAGAAAATATTACCAGCCATTATTCAAGGTTGGTTGGTGAATTTGAATCTATAGTCAGTTTAATTAATGTGAACATACAAAAATAAGAAAAAAAAAATACATGGCTAATGAAAATGAGAAAACTAAAGTCACTTTTAGATAATATTGACTCAAATCAATTATAAACTTTTTTCTATTTTTGAAGTAATCCTAGTAAAAGCTCATATATTACTTTTTGTATGCATGATTTAAATTTCCATATATTTCTTGAACTTTCATGACTAATTCACTTAAATTTTTATTTAAAAAAAATGAGAATTTTGTATTGGAGAATTATTTCCTATTTAGTGTGTAAATATGTCTAAGATATATTTTAATAGGAAAACATTAAAAAATAATGTAATAATTATCCTATAGAAAGTGGCACGTGCATCTAATGATGATATTGAAAACTAGCCGTCCAAATTATGTTCACGTGCCACGTGTCAGTACGAAACTGTTAAGATCATACGACTCTGGTAGAATCTTTCTTCCTGTGCACTCCACCAATTAGCAAAGACCATGAAACGGCGCCGTAATATCTGTCCAAACCACTGCGCTTGTGGAAACCGTAGAATGAAACAGAAAACAACATAAGCTGACACGAAAACCATCGTCACCTTTATAAAGAACTACCATCTTCTTCTTCGATGTTTCTCATTTTTATGATCTCTTCCTCTTTTTCTTCCTTTTCAATCTCTAACTTACTTTCATCTTCAGCTACCCAATCTTCAATTCCAATCACCAAGTCAAATTGTTCAGCACATTACTACCCATCTGGAGATTTTGCAGTTTCTAAATGTTATGAGCTCTTTGGCCCCCTTCGAAAATCGTGCGTAATCTGGTGAGTGTGCGAAGAAATTCCAAAACTTTATGACGAATTTTGAATAAATTCAGAACCTTTTCTCTTTTTTAGTTTCCTTTGAATTGGATGTATGCTTATTGCAGTATAAATACTATATGTTTTTGTTTCTTTTTCATTCCTGATGTAATGTTTATTTTGAACGAATAGAGTATGCTTCATCATCTTAACAGAGACTAATCAAACTATCATGTATGGTAAGGGTAATTACACGAAAGATGATTTCTGATCAATTGATGTTAGGAAAAAATTTTAGATTGGTAATGCATGTTTGTAAACTCTTCACAGATAATGCATAAATTTGTTTTCTGTTTGGTTTTGCTTACTTAGCTGCTGACATTTTTGTTTGGCACAGAAATCATGAAGAACAAGTGAAGTGATGGCCACAGCAGAAGTGAGGGCTGTGTGGCAGAGAGCTGTTAATCGTTGCTTTGTTCAAGAAGACGCAAAAAGAGCTCCTAAGTTGGCTTGTTGTCAATCTTCACGTGCAACATCGAAATTGTTTGATTTTGGAGCAGCCAGTGCTGCTGATGAATCTGATCATGCTGATGTTAATGTCACCCTTTTTAACCACAAATATTCTTTTTCCAATGTGACTCCTGACTCAAGATGGTGGTTGCAATTGCAACCTGACTATTGTATTAAAAAAGGATTAACCTGTGAACAGTTAAATGCATTAGAGGACGAACTTCAAATTTTGAAAGCTAGAAATGGAAATAAAAAAAGAAAAGATGCTTGTAGCTTTGGTGATGACAAGCATGGCTATATTTATTCCATGGATGGTGTGGTAGAGGCATGTATTGAAAAGTCTTCAGAAAATTCTGAGCAAGTGGATATGATGGCTAAACATGAGACAATGGATATTGATTCTGTAAGCTGTTCTGTGTCCAAGAAAACTAATGATTTCTCCATGGATTCTGAGTATTCGTTGATTGGAGTTGAGAAGGCACAACCATGGTGGCAAACTAGAGATAGAGATGAGTTAGCTTGCTTTGTTTCGCATAAATCACTCGACCATATCGAGAATTGTGACCTTCCACCTCCTCGGAAGTATCTCAGTGGACAACCAGGCAATGATACCACTGATATCAAAATAAGAACATCATTTGACAGGGAAGCCTTTTCCAATTTCAATGTTCAAGCAAAGGGAAGTGTAGAATCAGGATTAATGCAGAGGAGGTTGGGGCCTTCAACCATCAAAGGGAATTTACATTCTGATTTTGACATATACTCCAGGTATCCTCTCTTCACAGTTATTGGTTCACTTGGTTGCACCAAGACCTTGTTGGTATAATTTACTCCCAAAATATTTTTAATGGAACAGGTTAATAATTGGGAAATGGTGTGTTGTGGGAAATTAGTTCATCTCACCCTTTTTTTCCTGGGTCTCATGATCCTATTACAGGATTTTCATTCATATATCTTTCATCTTATTCCATATTAAAAAGTGAACTTATGCATAGACTAGAATAGGCTCTTAATTAAAAAGTGAACTTAAACTTAAATCTCGGCTAGAATAGACTCTTAATGACTTTGATAGGTAGTAGAACTCACACCTTATTTAACCTTACTAAACCAATTTAGTAAAAGAAGGATTACTTTTGTTTATATATTATAATTTGATCTTATTTCTAGTCAATTTAGATTTGAGCACTGACCGAAAAGAATACGTTGAAGATTCCACATTGACAAGAGATAGGATTAGACAAACTTCACCTTATTAAATTAGTTTTGTAAAGTTGAATTAAATTTAAAGTCTCCTTCCTAATATGATATCTAATATGATATCAGGACCTAATATTTTGAGCAAACTACACACACCCTTTACTTTCTTGAAAATGATCACCTGTCCTGACTACTTGACCTTTTATGGTTTACAGCAACTCCCTTGTAGGAGAGTATATGGTGTAATTTATTTCTTGGATAACATGGGATCTCAGAATAATGCATTTCAAAAAAATTAAGGATGTTGGAGTAAAAGTCATTAGAGGAAATTTAACGAAACCTCAAAGAGTATCACTATAATTGTCAGAATTATTTCCTTTTTCCTGTTCTTGAGTGGATGGAACTAGTTTAGATTATGCAGATTTTGAGTTTCACTTGAGGCATGTGATTTAGTTTTAAAACCAATCTGCTTGAAATTTTATTCCAGTTACCTCACAGAACAAATTTTTGAAGAAGACCCCAGCAAAGTTCAACTTATGGAAGCATTGTGTCATTCTCAAACACGTGCGAGAAAAGCAGAGGAGATAGCTAAACAAGCTTGTGCTGAGAAAAGGCACATTATTGCACTCTTCTTTATGCAGGCATCACAACTTTTTGCCTATAAGCAATGGTTTCAAGTGTTGCGGCTAGAGTCTCTTAAAAATCAGCTTGAGAACAAGGATCAGCCAACTACTATCTTCCAAGGTATCAAACTTGGTAAGAGAAAGCAAAAAATTCGCAATGCCAAACAAGAAATTCTTGAAAAGCCAAACATTACAACATATGCTGTTGCATTTGCTTTAGGATTGAGTCTTGTTGGGGCTGGCTTGCTTTTAGGATGGACTGTAGGATGCATGTTACCTTGTTCATAGTTTTCTAGCATTTAGAGTGAAGTGTTGCCTTGCATGAAGACCAGTTAATAGAGTAAATTCACCAAATTATAGAAAGAAGAGCAAATAGTTATATTAAATATGTATTTAGTTTTGTAGATTTGGTAGTCCTTAGTGTACATTCTGCAATGTTTTATGGAATGTGTACCAAAATATCTTCAAAGGAATTGCATAGTTATAACATGAACTCTATAAAATTATGACAACGAAAATAGAAATTGAGAGGATGACCATGTTGGTGGAAGTAGTAGCAATGACCGTCTAGGATG